TTTTCTGCATCATCGAGAGAATGAGAAATGCTTCACCGCCCGAACTTCCGCTTATTTGGCATTATAAAAGAATAATTGGCAAACAAATTCCAAGATTCAAAGACTGATACACATCCGTTCGAAACAATCAAATTGTTGTATCCGTTGTATCAGTCTGCCTATGGGAGGTTCCCTTGCGCATCCGTCTGTGCTAGCTCCTTCTCAGTCTTCAAACGAATCCCAAAGAAACCTCTAAGCCGCTTCTTACCGTCCATTGTTCGAATCAAGATGCCGTTTCCCCGCTCCTGTGGGAACCCCTTCAATCGCATCGCTCTTGTCAAACCGTCCCCCGCCATGCCCACATCATGCCCACTTGAGTATAGAAAGTTTGTGAAGGCCTCAACAAACTCGGTCCTGGTGACGCTTGCCGCCTCTCCCTCAGTCGTTTCCTTAGTAGTGCAAGCCTCGTCTATGAAAACTTGAAGCTTGTCGTTCTCCGAAGCGTATTCCATTACAGCCGCGCTGGACTCTTCTGGAACTGGCGAAAGAACCTTTGAGGCGGGAGCTAGTGCCCTCTTGGCGTGGTACATAATTGCTCCTTGAACGCAAAAGTCCAAAGTGTCCGCTGCTCCTTCGTCCGATTCAAAGTAGGGCTTCCAGGTCACATCGATGGGCTTGTGCATCTTGTTCGTTGCATCAAGCTCGTGGGGGTTCTTAAACGTGTAGTTGAACATGAGCAACACAAGCCGTCGAATGAGCGCAGTGTCATCGCTTGGAAAGTCCGGCCTGTAGTTCGTGAACAAACAAAGCTTGAATTGCGGCACGTAACTCTGCGGCTTGCAGAACAGCTCGCGTGCATCGAGCTCGCCGCCACCGGTAGCCTCTTTCAAAAACGACGTGTGAAGCACCTCTCTTCCTTCCAGTTCGTCGTTGGTGACAAACCTCTTTGTTCGAATTTGCATGAGATGGCTCGAGGCCGCAGAGGCATTAGCCTTGAACGTGAGTTTGATGAAGATGGCCTTGTTCCTCGCGCAATTGTAACGTCCAAAGGCCTTTCGGAGTGCTTGCTTCAACACTCCTTTTCCATTCGAACCGCTATAACCATTCATGATGACAAACAACTCTTCCAACGTCTCTCCAATAAGACAATAGCCAAAGAACATCTGGAGCCACTCGATCG